CAGCTGCGGCATCTCAGTATACTGTGGTGTCTTAGTATACCGTGAGCTGTAGCGCGCGGTATACTGAGCTTAGGGTGACGGGAGGACGCTAGTTTGTGTCCTTTCGTTACCCTAAGGAGAACTATGGGGAAAAGCCTTAACCCCATAGTTCTCCTTTAATGGAATACAAGTGCGGTGACTTAGTTAATTCACTCTTCCTCCTTTTCATGTTATTGAATGTCCGTACTGAGGTAGAACAGTCTGCAGGAGCCATAGTATTACACTCGCCATCCAACGATCATGGTTGCAGTGCTTTACTGGCTCCTATGCAAAAATAAATAAATTAAGGCACATTTTTTGTTTTATGAAGTTCCCATTTATTTTAATTTTGTTTTTCCAAAAGGCTAAATGTCCCTGTTAATATCAATCTGTGCAATAAATTACAATAAAATGCAATATAAAAACTAAAATATTGTATGACTAATATACACTATACATATATCAATGAATTTGTATTTGTATAAAGTCGTTATATATATGTATTTCTGCTTCCAATCTTTTGCACATTCCAAGTGCTGTGCAAAATGATTGAGTGATCCATGTCACATAAAGTGTGATAATCTGTGGACAAATCAGCACCCCAGGTAGTCAAACAAATTATCACCTTGTTGGATGAACGTTAATATTAACTATAGGTTAATAGGCGTAAATTTTATTTACATTTATCGCATTGATACATTTTGTTTATTTGGGTGCTAGCTACTTTTTGTTTGAGAATATACTGTATACTTTCCATATAGTGGGAGGCACTCATAGGTCTTGCAATGAATCAACATAGATAAATATATACGAGTGTGTATATATTGTGAGGATTAGCTTCAATGGGTAGCGCATTCAAGACACTTCCACTAGTAAACAACTTCTTTTTAGGGCTTCCTGCCGGCTTTTATTCAAACATGCACAGAAGTTTTTCCCTCGCAGGGGCTTCTCCAACAGGTTAAACACAAAGTTCAGCTTTTTCTTCAGCCACATAACCTTTTTACCGTCTCACCGACTTCAGGTTGTCTCTTTAACTAAACCTCATCCCCATAGGCTATATTCACACACTTGCCACACTGTCTGCTCTTCACCACACAGGCGATCTGCTCCCCAGACTTTTGTCTTGCGATGGTTGTAAGGTAATTAAAAAAACGTACAATCTGCCTATCTTGGACAGGCAGATCATACTTGCAATGATCGCAAGCCCGCCCCGCTGAGGGGCGGGGTTCCGATGAC